TCACCGTCCTTGCAAATAAATTCTTTTCTTGTTTTGGATTCTTTTGAGAATCTCTGCAGCCCAGTTTAGGGCACTGTGGCGATCGTATGCATCGGCATTGCGTTATCTTTCATGTGTTTTCATGAGTATGTATTTCAATCTGATGTTGGTCTCAGTGAATATACATCTCATGAATGTGCCAGGTTATGGCTCAGAAGGCTGAGCACATTTTTGAAATTTTGAGGCCTCCATGTCCCTGACAATCTAGCAGGTTCCGGGGGCTAACCAGGTGCTCTCCGTAGCTGTTGCATGGACGCTGACAGCACCGCCGCTAGCGAGACATCCGCGGCACATTCCGTGGTCCGGAGACAGGACTTGCTTGATCTGGAGCGAGAACTTCTGGACAACTTGGCAGCCTTGCAGTTGCACGTGACACGCTTGGAGTTTCGCTTGAGCCCGCTTGCACACCAAGCCTCGTCTGAATCCATTGCCAGTACAGGCTCGCACACTTCAGACGTAACAATTTCCTGTATTTGGCAGCTGAGGGTCTTGCCAGCACTGTGGGCATTTTGCGACACGCCTTCACGTGCACACCTGCTACAGTTGTCCTGTGAAATCTCGGCAGATCAGATCCGTCCCCAGCTGCAGGCTCTCCTGTTCACCCGTGCTTTTCAGGAACCCATGAGCATGAGCAAGGAGGCACCGCCTCCTCCTCGCGGGATTGCTATGGGGGATTGGTTTAGGGCTCGGATTCGGGAGTCTAGGGCACCTTACCAGCCATCAGTGCATCATGCTTTGTCTGCTTTGCAGGCTACACCAGTGGATATGCCGGCTCCGTGGGAGCGAGGTTCGCTTGCACAGGTTTTTGGATCTAGGGGGTTCTTGCCTTCGCCGTTGATACCGATTGTCTCGGATCATCTTGAAGACGACTCAGCCGAACCTAAGGTGCGTGAAACCGTGCAACAGATCAGGGCATCGAGTGAACCTTGGAAGGCCTCAGTCGTCCATTCCCGTTCTTGGGCAGACACGGAGGATGATCGGAGGACTGCAATTCTTGAGATGTGGAAGTTAATCATTTTGACTTCGGGTCGGGGCACAAAGGTAGGTAGGGACTTGGCCCGTATGCAGCGGGAAGCGGCCCCAACCGAAGTCATCGACCAGTGTCTCAGGGATGTCTTCTCTTCAAAGGCGACGGCGACTCTTAAGGCAAGGGCAGCTAGCTTGGCGCACTATGCGAGGTGGCGGGCTTCAGTGGGGTTGTGCCCGGCCCTCTTTCCGATGGATGAATCAGAGGTGTACATGTACGTCTGTTTTCTTCGGAGCGAGGGAGCCCCGAAATCCCGTGCCCCGCGTTTTCGTGAGGCAGTGAACTTCGCGGGTGCCTTGCTAGGAGTGGATATCCGTGAAACGGCAACCTCGTCGCGCATTCAGGGTGCGGCCAATCCTCAGCTGCAGGCTGTTGTCGTTCGTAAGAAGATTCCTTTGACCGTCGCCCAAGTACGTGGTCTTGAGGAGTTCGTCTTGAAAACTGATAACGACTTGGCTGCAGTGTTGGCAGGCTACGCCCTTTATTGCCTTCATGGTAGGATTCGCTGGTCGGACGCACAGCACACAGAGTCGGAGCCGACTTTGGATCTTCACGAGGGCAGAGGATATCTTAATGCCCAACTTTACCATCACAAAACAGCCAACAGGGGCTCCCTTGCTAGACACAGGCTCCTCCCTGTGGCGTGCGTCACTCCAGGGTTGTCTGATGAGAATTGGGCTGAGGTGTGGTTGTGGCGACGACGTAAGCTTGGACTGGTGGCATCGAAGGGCATGCCCATGATGCCTCGACCCTTGTGTCGGGGGGGCTTCGACACGCTGCCGCTGGATCCTTCGCTAGGTGCTATGTGGCTCAGGGAAATTCTGAAGGAGGCCGGCCCGTGGGAGCAGGACTTCAAGTGGGAGGAGCTGCATGTCTAAGGCCGGGGCTTCAGAGTCGTTGAGGGCCATTGCCCCATACCATCTGCGCTCTGCTAATTCTTCGACTTTGGAGTACTCGCGGGACGCTCTTGCGCCGGCTCTGCATTTCATCGAATCGATGTTTGTGTGCATCAAGGCCGGGCTTTTTGCTCCCGACGCCACGCGTGCTGGCAGGTGGTCTCAGGGTGTGCGTTCAACTGAGGAAGCCGAGCGTCTTGTGGGTCGCAAACCTGCGACAGTAGACAGTGCGGCTCCACCTTTGATTGTTCCCGATCCGCTGCCGGCGGACCCTCCTTCTGATCCCGAGTCGGCAGCAGAGAGCATCGGCACCGAAGGCGAGGCAGAGGAGGCTTCCATATCGGTCTTTGCTTTGGGTGAAGATCTTAGTGTGGCCGAGGATGCTCGGACCGCGCTTCAGTGCTTTCAGCATAAGACCAGCGGAGTGGTTCATGTGGCCAAGGGTGGTCACCCCCCAGACGAGGGTG